TGCTATTTTGTTTGCAATAAATACTCCATATCATCTGAAGAAAATTTCTATTCTTAGTTTCTAAAAAATTTATAATAGGAATGATTGTTGTATTTATTATATGTCTTTTTTAATCGAGATATAATTTGCATACCATAAAGTTCAGTTTTCAAAGCATACAATTCAATAGTTTATTGTTGTGTAACCATCACTGATATCTAATTATGGAAAGTTTTCATCACCCCAAGAAGAAACCACATATCCATTAGAAGTCACTTCCCATTCCTCCCCTTCCTCTGAATCCCTAGCAACCACTAATCTGCTTTCTGTCTCTACAAATTTGACTATTTGGATATTTCATATACATAGAATCATACATTATGCAGCCTTTTGTGTCTGGCTTCTTTCACTTAGCATAATGTTTCCAAGGTTCATCCGTGTTGTACCGTGGATCAGTGCTTCATTCCTTTTTACGGCTGAATAATATTCCATTGCATGGATATATCACATTTTATTTATCGACTCATCATTTGATGGGTATATAGGTTGTTTTCACTTTTTTGTATCATGAATAATGTTTATATGAATATTCATGTACAAGTTTTTGTGTGGACATATGTTTTTAATCATCAGAATTGCGGAGTCATATTGTAAGTCTATGTCTAACTTTTTGAGGAACTGCCAGAATGTTTTCTCAAGTGGCTGCACAATTTTACATTCCTACCAGCAATGTATGAAGTTTCTGATTTCTCCTTCTCCACGTCTTCAACTCTTGTTATTGTCTGTCTCTTTTATTATATTTTTTATATTGCATATTTTTTTTTATTATAGCCATCCTCATGGATGTGAAGTGGTATCTCATTGCATCTCTCTAAGGACTAATGATGTTAAGCATCTTTTCATGTGCTTATTGGTTATTTGTGTGTCTTCTTTGGAGAAATGTTTATTCAAATCTTTTGCCCATTTTTTAATTGGGTTATATTTATCTTTTTATTGTTGAGTTACAAGAGTTCTATATATATTCCAGATACTAGACTCTTATCAGATATGTGATGAGCAAGTATTTTCTCCCATTTTGTGGATTGTTTTTCGCTTTCTTGATAATGTCCTCTGAACAGTGTCCTCTGAACACAAGGTTATTAATTTTGATGAAGTCAAATTTATATATGTTTTCTGTTTGCTTGTGCTTTTGGTGTCATATCTAAGAAACCATTGCCTAATCCAAAGTCATGAAGATTTACACCTATGTTTTCCTCTAAGAATTTTGTAGTTTTAACTCTTACATTTAGGTCTTTTTCATTTTGAGTTAATTTTTATATATGATGTGAGGTAGGGATCCAATTTCACTCTTGCATACAAATATCCAGTTGTCATAGCACCATTTGCTAAAAAGATTATTCTTTCCTCCATTGAATTATCTTGGCATCTTGTTGAAAAAACAATTGACCATAAATGTATGGGTTTATTTCTGAATATTATGTCTTTTTAATATCTACTGAGACAATCATAAGATCTTTCAAGATGAAGTACTGCTAGATTTAATAATTTTTAACTGTCTTTACAGTCTTGAGATGACCCAAACTCAGTCATGGTGTGTTGCTCTTTTCATATTCTATAAATTTGATTCACTATTATTTTGTGTTTTTAAGTGAGATTGATATATTGTTTACTTTTTTAGTACCATCTTTGTTAAGCTGTGTTATTAGGTTTCTGTAAGTTTTATAAAATAAGTTCCATCTTTTTCTATGATTTGGAGAAATAAAAGGTCTACAGTGGTTCAAGATTTCAAATGTTTGAGGTCTCTTGAACCCTCTGGAAGAGCTCTCCTTACTCTGATACTCATCTTATTTGGTGGAGGTCCCAGGTCTCTGCAAAGTGGTGTGATTAAACCACAAATGAATACTTAACTCAGCTGAGTTTAAGGTATGTTTTGAGAACACGTCACTATCTTAAGAACAATTTTATCCACTCCTCCCCCCTCCACATCAGCTCAAGTTATCCTCTACATTAAAAGTTTGCTTACACAAGGTTGTTGTCATCTTTCATTTGTCCTGAACGCCCATCATATTTCCCCTGATCTCCAGCTGCTTCTACTTAATCTAAAGAAAATACAGCCTGAGTAGTTGACATGTTTGCTTTTCTGAATATCTCGCATCTGTCTTTACGTTCAAGTTTTGCTTCTCAGTGTGCTGGTGAGAGCACGGGCTCTGGAGCCAGGCTGCCTGTGCGTGAAGCCTGACTCCGCTGTACACCAGCTGTACGACCTCAGCTTACTTACTCAATTAAGTAAGTAAGATCTTAGCTTCCTCGCCTGTAAAACAGGGCTAATCACGGGAGCCACCTCACTGGATTGTGCAGAGCATTACATGACTTAATATTCATCAAGTGTTTAGAACAATGCTTGGCCCTTAGACTATCAGAGTTGAACACATATATACACTGCCCTAGAAAGAAGGCAGTGGGGACCCTATTCTCCTCCTCCTTCAGGGACCCACTCCCAAGCAGGGCCCACCTGCTAGCTGCTGCTCCCCTTTTCTAGAACCGCACACAGACCTCCCCTGACAGACACACACAGAACATGCTAACCATGACTGTTCAGGATGCAGCCCTCTCTCACTTGCTCGACCCCTCTCCCCAGACTTCCCCACTTTCTCTTGCATTCTCAGTCTCCCCCTGTGTACTGGATCATTCCCATTGGCATATAAACTTGCTCTCCCCCCATCTTTGTCTTTTTTTTAGTTTCCTTTCATCTAGCTACAGCCATTGTTGCTTTCCTCTTTAAAACAAACTGGCCAGCACAGTTGTCTCACGCTTGTCTTTGGTGGTTCATCTTGTGCCCACTACTGACCCGTGCCCTTCTGGCCTCAGCCCGAGACTGCTCTTACCAGGGCCATCAGCAACCTCCATGTGCCAAATGAAATGAAAAACGTTTCGTCCTCAGCTCACTCCCACTCCCTCCTATCTTTAACACTGCTCACCCCTCCTCAAAACACTCTTAGCTTTATTGACTTGGAAGAAAACTCCTCAGAGATGCACCCCCACCTGGTTTCTCCTTCCTTCATTGACACACTCTGTCTGTCTAACTCTACTCCAGCTCCCTAGTGAACCTCATCCACCCACTATTGTGGTATTAAATCGGGTACCATCCACGTGAGTTAGCTTCCTAATTTACATCTCCCATACAGACTTGTCTTCTGAGTTCTAAATCATAAACCACTTCCCACTCAACATCTCTACCTGGGAGTCCACCATTGGCCTTTAGAGTCAAATATGTCCTAACTGACCTCTGTCACCCCCACTCCCAGTACTTAGGCCTGTACATCCACATGCAGACCCATGCACACATATACATGTGCGCGCACACACTCACACGTGCATGTTCACACACACAAACATGTGCACACACACACACCTAATCTTCCTCTAAAGCTCCCCATATCAGTTACTGTACAACCCCCCACCATTTGCTCCTGCTAGGAACCTGGGCCCCGTTCCCTCACCCGCACATCCACTCATCCCCAAATCCTTTGGCTCTATTCCGCAAGCATGTCTTGAATGCACCCCCTCCTCTCTCTCTTGGCTTGTGACCAGCCTTATCCAACCACATCGCCCCTTGCCTGGTCTTCTCCAACAGCTTCTTAAGTGATCTCCCTACTTATTCCTTTCTTCTTTTGTTACTTACAAATCTATATTCCACACACAACCAGAGTGAGCTTTTTAAAACATGAATCTGATCATGTCACTTCTCTTCTTAAAACCATCTGCACTTGGAATGAGGCATACACCAAGGCAGTATGATTGGAGAAGCCCCCTTCAAAAAAGTGATGAAGCTGAACCCTCAAAGATGAGCAAAGGGTCAGTCAGAAGAGTGACAGAGAAGGGTTGCATTTCACTTAGAGGGGAGAGCAAGTGCAAAGGCCCTGAGGTTTGAAAGCTTGGAGCATTTAAGGAAAGAAGGAAGGCCAATGGGACTAGACTGGACTATAGTGACTGAAGCAGTGAATGTTAAGAAATCGTGATGGACAATTTAGCAGGGCTGGGCCACGCAGGGCCCTGTAGGTCGTGAAATGAGTACTTTCATAATTATTTTTAATTTTACATACATACAGGCTATTTTCCCCCACTGCCTGTAAGCTCCACAGAGCAGCATCCATGCCTGTTTTGTTCACTGTTTATTCCCCATCCCAGTACAGAGCCTGGCACATAGGTGCTAAACCTTTCTGTATTGTGTGAGGGGATAAACGTCTCCAGCATTACAGCCAGGCCAAGTGGCTGGCAATTGCCCTAAGGTACTGTGCTAGTCCCCTTCCTAAGATCCTCATTTTTGTCTCGCTCAGTGATTCTCAACTGAAGGGCAATTTTGCCCCCAGGGGACATTTGTTAATGTCCAGAGACGTTTTTGATGGTCACAGTTGTGGTGGAGGGGATGCTCCTGGCATTGGTGGGTAGATGCCAGAGATGCTGCTAAACATCCTACAGCGGACAGACAGCCCTCAAGACAAACAATTATTCAACCTAAAATGTGAACAGTGCTAAAGTCAACCCTGGCCCAGCTAAGTCTACCTGTCGTCCAAGCCTCTGTGAGCATCACCACTTTTGGAAGGTTTTTCTTGCTCATCAACCAGCGTGAGCTAGGGCCCTCCCCTGGGCTCCCCAAACCTCCTTTGTGTGATTCATCCCTATGCTTTGCAATTGCCTGTTCTAACTGCCTCCCACTGGAAGGTTGAGGTATATGTTTCATCAGCGTACCTAACACACAGTGAACCAGCTGTGCATTTTCTTGAATGAATACAGCCCCCTGGGCTGGGAATGGATAGGAGGGTGAAGATGAATTTTGTAGCAACATTTTAAAAATTTTAGTTGATATATGAACTCATGGGTCAGCAGGAATCACCCAGCCCGCTTCCCTACCTCTGCCTGTCGCCAGGTGTCTGTGCTAGTGTGTAACCTGCAGAGGTGGCACCTTCCTATGGGTCTGACCGTGGACTCACAGCATGGTTCACTCAATTAGTCATTGCCTTAAATTTGAGTTATTCAAGTTTAATCCCACTAAAATAAGACATAGAACTAGGGCATATGATGTGTTCCTAACAATGAAAAAAATAGGGCTGAAGCTTCATTTGCAGTGGGCTCTCCCGCAAGTCATGACCTGCTTGATCCACCAGCAAAAATAGAAATCCCAGTGGCCACACGCTTAGGGGCTTCAGATCTTGTGGTGGCTGCCAGAAACGCTTGAAGCCCTCCTCTTTGGATTCAGGTTTGAAATGGAGTCTGGTTGAAATGCTGTGCCCTTTGGAAGGGTTCCTTCCCCTTCCCCTCTCACGGCCCACCCAGCTCTATGTTCCCCTGCTTCCTTGCCCTGGCCCCCGTCCTCTCTCCCTGCCCTGGTGGCTCTGGTCGTGCCGGCTGGGGAAGGAGCACCGGAGGTGCCGGAAGTGAGGGCAGAGCTGGGCGCGTCACTCCAGCTCACTGCTTCTGCTGCTGTGACTGAAGCGCCTCGACGTGGGGCCGCGGACATTCACTGTTGTCCGAAGGGCTCTGTTCCTCCTCCAGCTGTTGCTCCTGCGCTTGGTCCCGAGCCCGCCTTCTCTCCAGCATCTCCTCAAAAAAGATCTGGCAGCTGAAGCCCTCTTGGATGCCATATTGGGCGTGCTCCAGCAGCGCCTCCAGCGTGGGGAACACCCGGCAGCAGGCCACACAGCGCAGCCCGTAGTTGGTGGTGACCAGCCAGTCCGGAGGGTCCCGCAGCTCCTGCAGGCAGCACTCCAGGGGCGCCAGCAGCTCCATGTCATCCGGCTCTGGGGAGCAGTTGTTCTTGCTGGCTTCCAAGTCCCAGCGCAGGTCGGTGTTGGAAGCCATCTCAAAGGAGGAGCCTTTCCTCCTCTGCCTCTTGATGAACTCAGCTTCATGAATGCGGGGCTTCCTGCTGACCGGCTCGAAGCCATTCTCGGTCTCCCAGGCCACGGCCACGCCCTGCACAGTCTGCACGTGGGTGTAGAAGGCACACACACTTTGCTGGGCGGCGTCCTCGTCGTGCATGTAGGAACAACAGGACTGGTACTGGGAGTAGGACTGGTACTCAGAGGAGGACTGGGATGATGGAGAGCTGCTCCAGCTCAGCATCCTCCGTGCCCTGGAGACGAAGCAGATGTCCTCCTCGTGGAGAAAGGGTAGCCCCGGCCTCGGAGATGACTCTTCCCTCTTTATGGTTCCTGAGAAGTGGGAGGACATTTTCGTCAGTGCCCCCAAGGGGTCAGTGCCACAACCCACCTTCAGGACTCTTAAAGGGTGCAGGTTCTTGGGGCCCTTGGGCAGGTACCATCGCCTCCGTATACCTGTTTCCCCATAAAATGGGGATAACAATAATGCCTACCTCATGGGGCGATGACAAGGATCAAATAATGTATAGATAGACAGGTGTATCTGTAAGTTATGGGTATGATGATAAGGATCAAATAAGGTATGAATGTACTCTCGGAAAACTTGACTAAACTCAAAAAGGCCATCGGCTGGTGAATAAACAGATTGTGGTACATCCATACAATGCAACCCTATTCATCGATAGAAAGGAATGAACTACTGATCCACGCAAAACATTGACAAATCTCTAATGCATTATGCTAACTGAAATCCAGGCTAAAAAGGCCATATCGTATATGATTCCATTTAGATGGCATTCCAGAAAAGGCAAAACTATAGGGAGAGAGAACAGATCAGGGGTTACCAAGAGCTGGGGGCAGTGGTGGGAACTTCAAAGGGTCACAAGGGAACTTTTGGGGGAATTGAAAATGCTCTACATCATGATCGTGGTGGTGGTTACACAAATGTACGTGTCAAAATGCTTCAAATTGTACACTTAAAATTGGTGATGTTTGTGTATATAAATCACAGCTCAATGAAGACAATTTAAAATGCAATGCAAGAGAAGTGCGTTGGCCAGGCCATTCAGCCCCACTTTCCTCTTCAGCATTTGTGCTGTGTCTCCATCTTACACTCGTTGTATCCCCATCACTCTATAAGTGCTTGTCATGTTTTAACTCCTTTAATATCCAAAAATTTTTTTAAAACCCTAAGAAATTGCACTGCTATGGTTCCCATTTGACCGATTAGGAAACTGAAGCACAGAAAGTTTAAATGACTGATAGAGCCAGAGATGATGCCAGGCACTCGGCCCCGAGAGCCAGTGTTACCCATGGGAGCTGCCCACGGTCACTTTACAGTGGTCTTCAAATTGATGTGCTGGATTAACTTTAAAGATTTTATTTATTTATTTATTTTTCCCCAAAGCCCCAGTAGATAGTTGTATGTCATAGTTGCACATCCTTCTAGTTGCTGTATGTGGGACATGGCCTCAGCATGGTCAGAGAAGCGGTGCATGGGTGCGCGCCCGGGATCCGAACCCAGGCCACCAGAAGCGGAGCGCGTGCACTTAACGCTAAGCCACGGGGGCGGCCCTGGATTAACTTTAATCAATTTATTATTGAGGAATTTTTTATATCATTCAGAAATCACAAGGTTGACATGTCAATTCTGTTTTTTCAAATGTACATTAAAATATATAATCATGAACATTTTACTTAATCCTCATACCTCCCGAGACCACCTCATATACTCACAAGGGCCTCGGTCACACCCACCATCCATTTTTATGGCCAACACAACACTTTGGTACCACCGAGGGGCGACCCAGCGGCCACCCCTCCCCCTCCCGAGCCTCCCTCCCAGGGAACACAACTGGCCGCACTCTTTCTTTTGACCTACCTGGCCAGCACACTTCCACGCTCTCCTCGGTGGACCCCGGGCTGGTCAAGCTGAGGGTGGTCCCATCCGTTGGTGACTGTTCTCCCCTACAGTCTGTGAAGTGGCGTTTCATGTTTTGACACCAGCACCAGGGGGCTCAGTGCTCAGCTGTTTGGTGAGAGTTGGCTTGGGCTGTGCTGAAGCCCTCCCGGCCCCAGCCCGAGCAGCCCCTGGGTTCCCTGTGGTCACTAGGACCTTGGCTTTATTCTATGACCTCATCAGTGACAATGATCTGTTCTGTGACCCATGGCAAGGACGGAGACCCAGGCAGGATGCCAGGAGAGGCTTCCCACCAGGATCTCATTTCCCTCTGAGAGTTTTTCTGCCTTGTGTATTGTCAGGGACACACAGAAACACAAAACACAGACACACACCCATGAAGACACAACCACCTAAACACACCCACGTAGACACTTATAAACATGTAAACACACCTATACTCACACAGACATACACATACATGATCACTCAGACACACATACACTCAAACATACATATACATACACACATACACAGTTACACAATATACACTCACACACACAACACACAAATTCACACCACATTCACTTAACCATAGATATGCTCACATTCATACTTTCATCACTAGACACCAAAACGAGACTACTTCCCACTGGGGAAACAGTGGGTGACCAAAAATCTTGCCTCCTCCCCGCTGTTCCAAGGCTCTTCTCCTACCTCACTCAGGCCTCTCAGCCCTCCACGGCCTGGGGCCCCAGGCCCTCTCTCACCTCTCCTCCCACTGGCTCACCCTTACTCAGCTCCTGGGACTCACACACACCAGGATGCTCTACCTTGGGGCTTCTGCACTCGCCCTTCCCTCTGTTGCAAGCGCCCTCCCCACGTCCCGTGTGCTCGCTCTCTCACTTTGGTCTCTGCTGAAACAGCAGCTTATCAGAGCAGTTGCCCTGAAACCCTAACAAAAACAGCACTCTTCAGCCCTCCATCTCTCTGTCACCTTACTCTGCTTTATTCATGTATTTATTTTTTGTGAGGAAGATTAGCCCTGAGCTAACACCAGTTGCCAACCCTCCCCTTTTTGCCGAGGAAGATTGGCCCTGGGCTAACATCCGTGCCCATTTCCTCTACTCTATATGTGGGGCACTGCCACAGCATGGTTTGATAGGTGGTGCGTAGGTCCACACCCAGGATCCAAACCTGTGAACCCCGAGCCACTGAAGTGGAGCGTGTGATCTTAACCACTACACCGCTGGGCCAGCCCCACCCCCTACTTTATTTTTCGTTGTAGAATTTATCACCTTCAGATACTATAATGTATGTGTGTGTGCATAATGGGTTTATCTGTATTCATCTCCTTCTTAAATGTAAGCTCCATGAGGAGAGAGACTTCATTCATTTTCCCCCGTTACGTCCCTGGCATCTGGAATAATGTTTTACTCATTAACAAGCACTCTAGAAATAATTGTCAGATTAATGAATAAACAAACAATGAACACTTTGGAGCTGCTGACTAGGGCTCATCTTCCTGGGAGAGATAGCTTCTCTCTGCACCTCAGTCTCCGTCGCCCCGAGGCAGGCTGCTTCTCACCCACAACTCTGAGTCCCCTCCTGATTCTCCACCTGCGTAAATCTCCCTCCAGACACAGTCCATCCGACACACCCTCCTGCTCACCATCTCTCTCTGCCCCGGGATACCCTAGCGTTTGCATATACTTCCTCCAACACACTTCTCACCTTTTTCCTGCAACCTTTGCTCAGTCTCACCAACTCTATTCCTCTGGATCCCAAATTCTAAAGAGTTCAGAAAGATGATGGATTGAAAGCAATCCCAACATTCCAAAAGTAACCCCCATACCACCCGCACAGCCAGCACACAGGAATACACTCCTATCCAGAAGGAGAGGCCCCTATGGGAAAGAAACCACCACAGAGCTTTACTGCCTGACGAAAAGTCACACTTGCACCAACAAAGAGGCCATGTTCCCTGATGGGCAGAGGAAATACTGTAAATGTGTTCTTTCTCACCAAATAAATCCAGAGACTTGCCTCATAAAAACAGGGGGGTATCAGCAAAAAGTAAGTAGATCAATGGAAGATAAAAGGCAGCCCAGAAAAAGATCACATTATATATTCAAATCTTTAAGGGATAAAGTAAATAACAAAAGTCTGGGAGGTAAAGACTAGGTCAATAAATGATGCTTAAAAATTTTATTCACTTTAAAAAAAATCAACTTTGGTCTCATCTCATATAAAACAAATAAGAATATTTTCAGATGGTCCTATGGTCATGTTTTAATTAAAAATGTTTAGAAAGAGGGGCCAGCCCGGTGGCGCAAGCGGTTGAGTGCGCGCGCTCCGCTGCGGCGTCCTTGGGTTCGCCAGTTTGGATCCCAGGTGTGCGCTGACCCACTGCTTGTCAGGCCATGCCGTGGTAGCGTCCCATGTAAAGTGGAGGAGGATAGGCACGGATGTTGGCCCGGGGCCAATCTTCCTCTGCAAAAAAAAAAGAGGAGGATTGGCAGATGTTGGCACGGGCTGATCTCCTCACAAAAAAAATAAAATGTTTAGAAAGAAAATAGAAGTTAACATTTGTAATTACAAAGTGGCTTTTCTAAACTTAAATGATAATCTTTGAAAGCATTGAGAACATTTGTCATCTTTTTTTAACTTCATTACTTAAGAAAACTCACTGTTTCAATTCGCATTTCTCCACTCTTTAGTGAAACTGAAATGAACAGTTCAGTAAAGGAAATGAACAAGCTATTCCCAGGAGAAGAAATGCAGATGGCTGATAAACATATAAGAAGATGTTCAACTTAACATAATAAGGCAACTACAAATTAGAAATACATGGTATACAGTACATCATTTTCACTCCTAAGATAAGTGAGAGTTAAAAAGATTTGCAGCACGAAGCACTGCTGAGGACATGAGGAAATGAGTGCTTTTACACTCTATTGGCAACAGTGCAACTTGCTCTTCTCAACGGAAATTTTACAGCACTCATCAAAGTCAAAAGCTGGTATGCTCTTTCACTCAACAGTTTATTTATCATCTCTTTCCTGGGAAACATTTGCATTTTGTGCCATGTGCATAAAATAGCACATATAGAAATGTTTATTGCAATATTGTTTATAATAGAAAAAAGAATAGGAAACATTTCAAAGATCCATCAAAATAATGAAATGATTAAATAAATTACAACATAACAAAACTGTGGAATATTATACTGCAATCAAAAGAAAGAGATCTACATGAACTAATAAATAAATTCACGTTAAGTGAAAAAAGATGCAAGGGAATTCTACTTATATAAAAATTAAACATGCTCCCTTCTCCCCAAATGATAAAAGCAAGATGCAAGGGAATCCCACTTATAAAAATATTAAACATGCTAACCCCTCCCCACAAAAGCCCCAGACCAAGTTGTATGTTCTATGTATGTAAGGCACAGAGGAGGTCTGAAGACAATCACCTCTAAATAGGAATTCTGGTGACCTCAGGGAAGGGGAGAAAGATTAGGTGGGGCTGTGGGAGGTGGTGTTTTCCAAAGATGGTCACACTAGTCCATCTCCCATCCCACGAGCTCTTCTTACAACATGAAGTTGACACTCTTCCATTGAGAGACAAGTTCTCTCTCCCTGAATGGGGGCAGACTTTGTAACTGCCTCCACCAATAGAATGCAGAGGAGTGATGCTTTGAGACTTTCAATGCTAGGTCATAAAAGACAATATAATTTCCTGGCTCATTCTCTCTCTCCACTCTCCTTTGGACTCAACCCCCATGTTGTGAGGAAGCCCAAGCCACATGGAGAGGCCACGTGGAGGTGCTCCAGCCAACAGCCCCAGCAAAGGTCCCAGCCAACCACCAGACATACAAGTGAACAAGACTTCAGATGATCTGCCTTGCAGCCTTTGAGTCTGCCAGCTGGGGCCACAGACATCTTAGAACAGAGACTAGCCATCCCCTCTGAATTCAGCCATCTGCCCTGCCTGAATTCCTGACCCTCAGAAACTGTAAGCATAAGTAAAACATTTGTCTTTTACCAGGTCTGGGGGCAATTTGTTACACAGCCACAGTAATTCAACAGACTTGCTTTTCCTATACTGTTTAAAAATGTTCCAGTGAGACAGCTCACTGACCAGCGTCTGTACCGCAGTGCTTCTCCCTGGTCCAGTTGAGTGCTGTGGTTCCCCCAGCACACCTTGGGAAGATGGCTCCCACCACCTGCCATCCATTTACTTATTTGTTCAATCGTAGTATTCCTGTGCAGCCATTTCAGAATTGTTAACCTATACCCCCAGGGGAAACTACTTTACCAACTACATTACAAGGTTCATATAGTTGCTTTTGTCTTTAGCCTTACGATTTCTAGTCAAAACGTCATTTTCCAGAGTTACTTGGGTCAGCCCCTTTATTCTCCCAGAATCTACGTATCTTCTTTCTAATCCTCTCAACAACCCCGCCAGGTAGGCACTGTTAACCCTACTTTATAGAGGGGTGTTGAGGCTCAGAGGGGTTGGGTGAGGCGCGGATCGGAGGGACGAGAGCGGGTGCTTACATCTCAAGCCTGGAGGCAGGGCTGCTTTGCCAGGCTGCCCTCATGCTGCCCCTGTGGGCTTCTTCCCCGGGAGGCTGGCTTAGGGCACAGCCCCATCTAAGGTGTGTGACTGTCCTTCACCCTCCCATGGCCTCTGGGCTGCTTCTGTCCATGGGAAAGCCCTCTGTCCCAGCCCCTCCTCTTGCTCCATGCAGATATTTAGCTAAGGCCACCCATACAGGGTTCCTGTCCCCCTGGGGGAAGGGAGGGGAAGATGGTTATGGCCCAGGCCCTCCCAGACCCCTGCATCCCAGCCCCCGCAGTTTTCCAGCTGGTTCCCCAGCCTCGCCAAGAACTTCCACGCTCCACCGCTGCAGCAAGCAGAGTTGGTGTGCAAAACCCCACAAGGACCAGCGCAGCACTTTCTTGGAGCTCTGACTCCTAGCCAACTCATTTCACAAGTTGCATGTGAGCCCTAATCCTCATCAAGAAGGCCTGGAGTCCTTTCCAGTCTTAACTTTTCTTCCAAACCCTCCTCTTCACAGGCCCTGTTTTTCTCAGCTGGGAAGGGGCTAACAGGAAACAAACCAGCCACAGGCCAGCAGGAAGCAGAGACGCCACCTCTCGCTTCCCTTCCCTTCT